TTGATTTAACATCATGTGCTATCTGGGTACTTTTCATGTTCTGCTTTCCTTCATTTCTTTCTTAATCATGTACTTTTTTTTTGAGCCATCCAAACATACTTGGGCCCATCGTTTACTTGTTTTGTTACTTACTTCCTACTTTGCCCTTTCTTGTTCTTTCCATCCTTTGTGAAGTCCAGAATTTTTAGATGGAAAAATCTGCAGTTACACCATCCTTTCTGTTTTGCAGTCCCGTTAGCAGTCACAGGTCTACAGGTGGAGCCCGTCCTGAGCACCTGTAGCCTGCAGGTGAGCTGGCAAGAAGCTCTTGGTGTGTCTGATGGGTACATCCTGCAGGTTCTGGATGAAAGAGGCAGCATCGTCGCCAACGGCTCACAGCCCGTCAGATTCACCCGGTACCGGTTTGATGGCCTTACACCAGGGAAGAAGTATCGAATCCTGGTCCGGACCACCAGTGGAGGACTCCATAGCCAGGGAGTTAGTGCTGAAGCTCGAACATGTAAGACTTTTTGCTTCTACTTACATAAATAGGGCATTGGTATCTGTCCAAGAATAAAACAGGAAATATACCTGGTCATTAAGTTCAAATCTCTATCTGTTTTCTCCTCCATCAGACCCAGCATCTGTTACTGATCTGTCCATCAAAACCAGCAGCACTGCCAGCCTGTCTTTCCAGTGGTCCCCACCAGAGGGAGACTTTCAGCATTATGAAGTCTTTTTGTATAAAAGTGATGAGTCTCTGCAGGAGAGCCAGCGGGTCCAACCCAGTATTAAGCAGTGCTCCTTCCAGGGTCTCAGACCTGGAGCTCTGTACAGACTAGAGATTGTGGTCCAGAGTGGAGACCAAACCAACCAGACCTCCATGTGGGCAAGGACAGGTGAGATTTGACTCCAATTCTTAGAGCGGACAGTGAAGCTGGGAGGTGATCGGACCAGAAGGCTGACCCAGTGAACATTGTCCTTTTCAGTACCAGCGCCTGTAGCATCTCTCAGGGCCAAGAGTGGAAACCAGTCCGACACTCTGTTGATCAACTGGGATCGCAGAGATGGTGATGTGACCGGATACCTGCTCTCGCTCTACAGCCCTGATGGATCCCAGCAGGCTGAGCATCAGCTGGGTTCTGAGGTCACAGAGTTCATATTTTCAGGCCTTGTGCCAGGTCGGCAGTACCGAGTCGACGTGCTGAGTCTCAGTGGAGAGCTTCACAACCTAGCCAGCACTGTGGGTCGTACTGGTAAGACCAACTATAACGTTAGAAACAGATGGTTTAAGTCAATAAAATTTCAAGAACATAAGAAAAGTAGTTTATAAAGATTTTGGTTCTTTTTAATGTGAGCGGTTCTGGCATTATCTGCATATTTGGCATTTTTTCTCAGGTTAAGTAGCACATCTAACATCTGGGTCCAGTGTTTCCCAAATGCAAAACAGGCAAAGTAGATGAACAAATTTCAACTGTCTCTCTGGACCCAGCTTGTGACAAATTTGGGGCCTGTTGTGGCGGAAACACTAGTTTTGACAATGTTATAGGATGTAAAACAAAATCTAACCTAAATAGCCTAAAGTTTATTCAAACCTGGACCAAAGCAGAACTAAGCTAATTTATTAAATGACACCAAATGTCGAGATCTCCTACTGTTAAGGGGGCGAAGATGG